CCAGCCTTGCTGGCTGGGGAATTCTGGGAGTTGAAGTCCGTCCACCTTCAAGTGGCCAAGGTGGAGAAACGCTGCTCTGGGATGACTGAGTTTTCAACTCAGTTGCTACTGAGGCGTCTTTTCTGACTTCCGGGCATCTAGGCTTCTTGTCCAGTTTCTCTGTAACGGACAAAGGGTTGGAAAAGCCTAAGTGCCGCAGAGCATTTTTGTACCCAAACAAAATTTTCAGCAGGAAGGCAAACGATCCTCTGTTGATGGTTTTATACTGGGACAAGCATTTGTAGGAAAATGGTGACTTTTTAAAAACATAATTTTTACTGTAATGTCTTTTGCAACTCTTGTGTGTCTTTTTTAACAGTTTTCTCAGCACTTGTCTGGAATTACATGCTTTCTACTTAGAGACGTGGAGCATATAGGAACTTTGGGGAGTTCCTTGTTTTTGTTCCTTGTCTGATATCCGGCAGAGAAATCTTATCCAAAATGAGCAAAATACCCTGCCTACAGCAGGTAGGCAGGTTGGGAGCAGAAAGGAACGATGTTTGGTACCCTTATTTTTTAAATGGGGAAAAATATATTGCATTAAAATATATTGTTTATGTTGTTATTATAGGGCATATTTTGGATGTCCCATTTCTCCTCTTTTTATTGGACTTTTCCTGAAGTTAAACTCCAGGAGAGCCAGTTGGGGTGGAATGAATCACTTACTTCTTTTTTTCATTTGAAACTCCTTTCTGACTGCTGCAAGGAAACCGGAGGATCTCATAGTCCTCGGGGTGCTCTCCTAAGACTCATAAGAATAGATACACTTTTACTGCTAGAAGGGCTTCCATCTTCTATCTTATTTTTTTTCTGAAGTTCGCTGAAGATACCACCCTTAAACTGGAAGCCCTCCAAAGGTGTAGACTTCAATTCCCAGAATTCCCAGGCAGCATCACGCCTGCTGAGAATTCTGGGAGTTGAAACCCACCCATCGATGGATGTCCTAGAGTGCTGTGTCTAAACCACTATTTTCTTTTCCTTGGGTAATGTAGACTTTACAGCTAGACATTCTTAAGGCTAAATGTAATCCAAATGAATAAGATGAAACATAAAAAATAATTCATGGAAGGAAGAGAGATGCAGATTTTTTTTTTCCTGTGGCATCACTAGTGAACCTGAGAACAGGTATCATCAAGAAATATATTGTCCAGTTTCCTTAGCAGGAGGAAATAATAGAGATGTGTAACGTAATTTGGAATTTGTGGAACTTAGAAGTTTTCCACTTGCTCTTCCCTGTCACTTGATTTATCTTCTTTTAAATTTAAATTTTAAATAAAATTCATGCAACGTTTAGTCCAGGGTTTATGAACATGCATGTAATAAATTGCCAATTTATTATAACTTAATTTACAATACTAGTAGGAACTGATAATAATATGAAACCATAAGCCATTTTTCAAATGGATTCAATAATTTCTGTGGAATACAGTGCTTGACGCTTTGTGTCCCAGTATTTGCTGCTTAAAGTCATGGGATTCTTGCACAGGGCACAAACATTGTGTTTTTGGAAATCAGACTTTTGCTACCAGTAGCCTAGCACCTCTGCACTCTGACACTGCAATGGGTGAAAGTATCTGTAATGGCGATCCCTTTTTAGAATTGTATGAAATTATTTTCTTGTTAGGGATTACAAACTTTCCAGTCAGAGGGGATTTGGTCAGAGGCTTTATTACAAATAAAGTGGAGAATAACATCTCCATAGCAGTGCAACTAGCTGCTCTTATTTATTTCAAATTAATTGTTAACTTTTTACCAGGTTCTGTTTTGATCAAGCATCTAGTCCTTAAGAGTTTTTCCTTTTGGCATTCTGAAGACAATGCTGAGTGGAGCGGAAGGGGATCAAAATGTAGTTAAAACAGTTTCTCAGAATGTTGAATGTTTAATAGCATGGACACGGACTTATTTATATTCTTTTGGTGCTATTTTCAGCCAGTGCTGAAGTACTGTTGTGTGACAGCCGATCATACTCGTTTTCCTAAGCCTTCACTGTATTTCCAAAATGAACCATTTGTAATCTTTTCTGCAATCAGCAATGTTTTTAAAGAAGCAGAATAAAGAGAGATTGCGTTCGGTGTTCAGTGTGTTTTGTTCATTATCACAAGCCAGACACTTAATTGCTTGGTAGAACCACTTTGTAATGTGATCTATGAATGTATTGTATTTCCATACCATTTTAATACCGTTCGCAGTGCTGCAAGAGGACATTTCACTCATCACACAGAGCAATAAACGTTGTGCTTTCTGTGAGTATTTTTTGCGAAGGGTAAAGTTTTGGTTTCTATAATTCCTCTAAAGACTTCCCTTCTTTTCACAGTTATTTAACAAAGTTAATAAAAACTCAAATGCCTGGAGAACTTAAAACCCACCCAGAGTATTTGGTTTTGTTTCAACATTTTATGAATCATGTCAGAAATTCTGAGATCTGGGGGGTCAAGTCCTTGAGTGGGGAACGGCTGCTGTAACCTTATTGTTTCACACCGCTGGTGGGAAAGAAGGCATTTTGGTGGGGGTTTTAAAAGGAATGCAAAGTCTGCGTGTATATACACAAAAGGATTATAGCTCTCCTGCAGTAATTATCTGGGTTCAGAGTTCTTTCTAAATTTGTCAAAAGCTATTTATTTTTTAAAGTGTTGCAATGAAAATGCAGGCTATGGGAAATGGAACACAGCAAACTTTGAAAATGAATTCTTAGGAGTCAGAATATTCTTAGAAGTTAATAGTTTGGGGCAAAATTGTTTAGGGGCCCCATTTGCAGCTTATTCTAAGTGGAACAAAGGAATGATCTTACAATACATAAATTTCTTCAATTAAGCAATATTTAGAGATGCTACGACTTGGGAATAAAGCGTTCCAGATTTCTCATGATCTTGGCTTCCAGTAATTCAGCAAAGCTGAACCTGGATTGCTGACTGTTCAGGAAATTCAAAGATTCTGGTTTAGACTGAGAAGTTGAAAAGAGAACTGGGAGAACAGCTCCAGTCTGTTGCCAAGAAAACATATCGGGACGTATCCGTGAAATCACTAGGAGCCAAACTCAACCTGAAGGAGGCTTTATTAGCGTGAAACTGAAATGCAAGCATCACATCAACCACAAACCCTTTAATTGTAATTTTGAATTGGTAGAATGTAGTTCAAAAAGTTTTGGAACTCTATCATAAATGAAACTCTAAAAAGCTGAAGAGAAAAATAATATAATAATTAAAAAAAATAATGCAAGAAAGAGGGGCGCATAACCAAAGAGGGATATAAATAGTCTTCAGAAACTCTAGAAGCGCTTTCAGAAAGAAACTGAAGATTGAACAAGATACCAAAAGCGACAAAACCTCTTTTGGCAAATTAGGAATAAAGGGAAGGCCAAAGAGGATATGGGCCTGTCGTGAGGAGA